TCCTTCCGCTTCCTTTTAGGCTGGAAGGGAAGCTGCCTTTGCAAAGGAGAGACGCGGAAAAAGAAGAACTTTTGCAGGGGAGAAAGGTGAGCGAGTGCAAGGGGAGTCTCTCCTGATCTATGCATTAAATAATATATATTATTTTATGTTGTATTGAATATAATAAAATTAGTAGAGATCAAATATCTATATTATATTATATTGAGTAATGTCCCAAATTAAATTAAATAATATAATATATAGTACATTAAATGTTATTTATTTTACTGTATTTAAATTTAATATCATATACATCATATTATTTTAAATCATATAAGAGTTCCAGATTAAATTAAATAAATAGAATATATAGTGCATTAAATGTTATTTTATTTATTTTACTGTATTAAATTTAATATAATATACATTATATTATATTAAATAATAGTACCAGAGTAAATCAAATAAATAAAATATATTACATTAAATGTTATTTTAATCACTCTCAACAAAAGATTCCCCCCAGGCACTTCCAAGCCATCAAATGCTAATCAAGGTGGTCAGTTGAGACATTCACACCTAGCTCCAGCAGACAAGAGTCCTTTGTCCCATCCTGGTCATTCTACAGATATATAAACCCATTTTCCTACTTCCAACAGACCTCACTACCTCTGAGGATGCTTGCCATAGATGCAGGCGAAACGTCAGGAGAAAATACCTCTAGAACATGGCCATATAGCCCAGAAAAACCTACAACAACCCAGTGATTCCAGCCATGAAAGCCTTCGACAATACATCAAATGTTATTTTATTTATTTTACTGTATTAAATTTAATATAATATACATTATATTAAATCATATAATAGTTCCAGATTATATAAAATAATAGAATATATATTATATTCGGTGTTATTTTATTATGTTACATGTAATATCTATAATATAATCTTAATTATGTAAAATGTTATTTTTATATTACATATAATATGATATATATATATCAAACTTAATGTTACATCATATAAACGTTCCAAATTATATTAAATCATATATATTAAATTTAATACAATAATATATTATATTAAAACATATAATTGTCCCAGATTATATTATAACATGCATTATATAAATATGCTATTTTATTAAATCTTATATCATATATTAAATTTAATAATTATTTCATATTAAATCATATAATTGTTCCAGATTATATTAAATAATAGAGCAGATATTTGATTAGATTAAACAGAATAAAATAAAATATATATTAGATATAAATTGTATTAATTCATATAAGCATTCCAGATTATATTAAATAGTATAATAATATATAAAATATTAAATGTTCTTTTTATTTTATTAAATCTTTAATATAGAAACTTGTAATATTAATATAATGAATATATTATAATAAATCATATAATCATTGCAGATTATATTCCATTATAAAGGAGCTCTTGCGTTGGGGTTTCAGATATCTCATTATGCATGTTCAGATCTCCCCAAATTGGAAAGAAATCCCAAATACTGGTTCCAACCATTTTGGAGAAGGGACACTCCATATCAACGATGATGAATGCAAGACATGAACCATGTGGGGACTCGGGTCCCACCTCCAAGGCATGTCATTATGCATATGCAAATCTCCCATAAGAACCATGCTTTTGGGGTAAGGAGTGTTGCTTGCTTTCAGGCCGGACGGACGATGCCCTTTCTGCACGGCTTCCGGAGGATCGTCTTCGAATACCAGCCGCTGGTGGACGAGATCCTCCTCGCTTTGGGGCTGCAGGGGGCGGAGCCTCAGGAGGGCCCCAAGAGGTAATGTTTATTTATTTACAGTATTTATATTCCGCCCTTCTCACAGACAGATGCAACTGTCTTTTGGGCTGTGTAGGTCAACAGCAAGCTAGACTATTAATGGTCGGGAGCTCACTCTGACCTGGGTTTGCTTCGAACTCATGACCTCTTGGTCAGTAGTGATTTAATGCAGCTAGCTACTAAACTAGCTGTGCCACAGCCCGGTCCTAATAAAATCACAATTCATATAATATATTCTCTATCATTGAATATAACCTGGAATTATTATATGATTGAATATACAATATAATATTAAAATGAATATACAATATATTCAATCATTAATATGATTGAATATACAATATAATATTAAATTTGATATAACAACATTGTCCTCTCCCTCTTTTTCCACTTCCTCTTCCCTCCAGGCCGAATCCGGGCTTCCAGGCGGAAGACGACCTCCAGCTCCGTCGTCTGGGTGACCTCTTGTGCAGGAAGTCCCGCCCATCCTACTTCCTGGATGGTGTCAGCTTCGCGCTGCTCAAGGTGGCGGAGCGGGGCCTCCTCCGCGCGGCTGAGACACTCCTCAACAATGGCGCAGACGTTGCCTTTGAAGGTAAGCACACTACAGCCCCTCTAGGAATCTCTGGGTCCCCTAGCACCACTCTATGGTCAACCTCATAAACATTGTTTACATTGCTTACATTGGATGACTTGCAGCTTCCTAGAGAGGACACTTTCGCAAGTTATAAAGAGATATAAAGGGAAAGAAGGATGGAAAAGATAGAAAAGGAAGGAAGGAAGAACAAAATGGAAAAGATAGAAAGGGAAAGAAGGAATGAAAAGGTGGGGAAGAAGGGAGAAAAGGTGGAAAAGATAGAAAGGGGGAATGTGGGGGCAGCCCTTCCATATCTCGTGTGTTTGTGTGTGTGCATGCGTGTGGCCCATGCGCTCCCTCTTCTTCCTCTTCTAGATCCAGTGACGTACTACACGGCGCTCCATGTGGCAGTGCTGCGCAACCAGCCGGACATGGTGGCGCTGCTGGTGCGGCACGGGGCAGACCTCAACCGCAGGGACCGGGTCAGTTCAGGCCTCCCAGTATATCTCTCTCCCTATCAATATGTCAAAACAGGTTTGCATGTACGCATCAAAGCACGCCTTTTCCAAAGTGGAGAGCCAATGACGGATCTGGTCCAAACTTGGCACACGGTCCCCCAAGACAAATATAAAATAATGGAGGGGTTTGAGATGATGGGAGTTGTAGTCAGCCTGGATGATGGGAGTAGTCCACCCACAACCAGAGAGCGCTGTGATTCCCATGAACAACAGATCTGTCTTATGATTTATACTCAACATGGCCAGCTTTGAATCCTGGTGGCATGCTTGAATCCCAGCCTGATGGGAGTTGTAGTTCACCCACATAAAGGTTTCCTAATTATGTGTAACAAATTTTGAGGAAAAAGTCCTGTTCCTGGTTTGAAAATGTTATTTCCTGTTTAATTGTGCAGCACTAATTTTGTTTTGGGGCCACAAACTATGTCGAATTGGTTGAGATATTCATTAGCACTGGGACTGTGGCGCAGCTGGCTGGGAGTCCGCTGCATTAAGATCACTACTGACTGAAAGGTCATGAGTTCAAAGCCACCCTGGGTCGGAGTGAGCTTCCGACCAATTTGTATAGCTTGCTGTTGACCTTTGCAGCCTGAAAGACAGTTACATCTGTCAAGTAGGAAATTTAGTTACCGCGTATGCAGGGAGGCTAATTTAACTCATTTACAGTGCCATAAAGATCTCCAGCAAGCATGCAAAGAATGAGGAAGTACTCCATCAGTGTCCCAAATGGACGGTGAAGCGACAGCTCCCCTGGTGGCCAGAATACCCTCATCAAAAAGCTGGAATGTTAAATAGCCTCTGTCTATATATTTTGTGTCTATGGCATTGAATGTTTGCCATGTATATGTACATTGTAATCTGCCCTGAGTCCCTTGCGGGGTGAGAAGGGCAGGACATCAATACTGTAAATAAATAATAAATAAATAAATTGGGAAACTAGAGCAATACGTGCTATAGCAGGACGTCCCTCCCACAAACACAAAGTTTGGGCAGTTTAATACACTTTTCCCATGTTTTTAATGATAGGGCCAGTTAGGAGGCAACTCTTTTCCTCTCCTCTTTCAGATCCATGAAAGTAGCCCTTTGGACCTGGCCAGCGAAGAGGCCGAGCGCCTGCCTTGCCTCCAGCGCCTCCTCGAACTCGGAGCCGACGTCAACGCTGCCGACAAACATGGTGCGAGTGTGATACTATTACTATTATTACTCTTACTATTTCATTGTAAGGCCAGAAATACTCCAAAATAGTTTTGCCAATATTTTCCTCTATGAAAATATTATTATTATTATTATTATTATTATTATTATTATTATTATTATTATTATTAGCTGGGGTGTCCAGCATTGCCTGGGCTATTTGAAAAGGTCAGTTTCTTAATTGTACAAGATGCCATGAGGTTGTGGGTGAACTACAACTCCCATCATAGCAGGTTAACCCCCTGAAACTCCATCAGTACTTAAAGTTTGTTATGTTTGGCAAGTTTGCTCTAGATGCATCATTGGTGGGGTTCAGTGATGGCTCTCTGGCTGTAGTGTGAACTACAACTCCCATTTTGGTGAGTCAGTCCCCACAAACCCCTCCAGCAGGTTGAGTTAGTCATTGGAGGGGCGCGGGTTCTGTGTGCCAAATTTGGACCAGGTCCATCATCGGTGGGGATCACCATTTTCTTGGTTGTGGGTGAACTACAACTTCCAGAAAGGAAGGTCAGTTTCCCCTAAACCCTTCCAGTAATCAAATTCAGGCATATCAGGTCTGCGTGCCAAATTTGGTCGAGATCCATTGGTGTTTGGATTCACAGTACTCTCTGGATGTACGTGAACTACAACTCCCCCAAGGTGAATTTCCCCCAAGAACCTCCAGTATTTTTTTGTCTTCCTCTATGAACGTTATATTATTGTTACTCCTCCAGGGAAGACTGCTCTGCTCCATGCCTTGGCCAACAGTGATGGCGTCCAGATCCACAACACAGAAAACATCCGCCTTTTGCTGGAAGGAGGTGAGCCTGACGTCTTGAGCCGCCCTCTTCCAAAACACTTCCCCAGTTTTTGGAATATTTGCTTATATCTATCAATAGACATAATAATAATAATATTTATACATATTACCCACCTCTCCTTTCAGCTCAAGGCACGGAACAACACAGAAACATCTATAATATTACACATTAAAACATAGCTAAAATGTATATTTTATACTTCAATCTATGTACCTCTATCTATCTATCTATCTATCTATCTATCTATCTATCTATCTATCTATCTATCGGAACCAAGTCTAAACACAACATCCATTTATGGATGTATAATATATAATAACAACAACAACACATCAAAAGTCCTAGACGCTTGGGAAGTGTTTGACTTGTGATTTTGTGATATAAAATCCAGCGTATATATCTCGTTTGCTGTGACATACTGTATTATGTGTCAGTAAAATAATAACTATATAATGTATGTACTTTATGTTATTTGTATTTAATAATATTTAAGTGAATCCATGGAGGTTGGTAGACGCCAGATTAATAGTATAGTAGTAGTAGTAGTAGTAGTAGTAATATCAATAGTAATAGACTCTCATGGTAGCCATTGAGGATGGATAGATGCCGTGTTAATGTTGTTTCTGGTTGCTTAAGAGTCACTATTAAAAATGAGCCAAACTCAGACTTTACCCCATATAACCATATATCTTTATGATCCAGTATGGGGTGCATTATAAGTTAGGTCCTTTTTAAAGTGAGAGTCTACTGTGGTGTTGTTGTTGTTATTACTATAATCATAGAATCATAGAATCAAAGAGACCTCCTGGGCCATCCAGTCCAACCCCATTCTGCCAAGAAGCAGGAATATTGCATTCAAAGCACCCTACCACAACTACCATCATCATCATCATCATCATTATTATTATTGTATAGGTGTTTTAGTATGGAGTACAGTATTATTGACCGAAAGGTCGCAGGTTCAATTCCAAGGAGCGGCGTGAGCTTCCGCTGTCAGCCCTAGCTTCTGCCAACCTAGCAGTTCGAAAACATGCAAATGTGACAATCCGGTAATCGCGGAACTGTAGATATATCACCAATTACAATATTGAACTCTTTGAAGATGATGGGAAGTCACAGCACGGGGAGGGGGGGGTGGTGGTGGGGATTTGTTCTACCTGTTTGTATGTCTTCTCTTCTTATCGTTCCATTGTTTCATTGTTTATTGTTCTTTTATTTATGTAATAAGAAAATATGCACAATAAAAAATAATTTATATATAAAAAAAGAAAACATGCAAATGTGAGTAGATCAATAGGTACCACTCCGGTGGGAAGGTAACGGCGCTCCGTGCAGTCATGTTGGCCACATGACCTTGGAGTTGTCTATGGACAACGCCGGCTCTTCGGCTTAGAAATGAAGATGAGCACCACACCCCAGAGTCAGACATGACTGGACTTAATGTCAGGGGAAAACCCTTACCTTACAGTATTATTATTACTTCTGTATTTTTTTAAAAAAGACCATTGAACCATAATAATAATAATACTGATTCTGATGATGATACAACTGGAAAAGCTGTCACAATACGAGGGTTTATAGATCGAACTGCAAAGACTCTGGCACAAGCCAGTATAGGTGGTCCCAGTGGCGATCAGCACACTGGGTGCAGTGACTAAAGACCTTGGCCTGCACTTAAAAACAATTGGCGCTGACAAAATTACCACCTGTCAGCTGCAAAAGGCTGCCCAACTCGGATCTGCATGCATTATTCACAGTCCTAGACACTTGAGAAGTGTCAACGTGTGATCAAATTCAAAAGCCAGCATAGTGACCTTGCTTGCTGTGTATTCATCTTGTTGTGTATCTAATAATAGTAGTAGTAGTAGTAGTAGCAGCAGCAGGAGCTGCATAGGAGCGTGCTGTCCTTTATATCTATTCCCGCCAATGGAGGCCCTTAGTTTCACAGTTGCTGTGTTGTTGTTGCTGTTGCTGTTGTTATTATTTTGTCTGCAATGTCCCAACAAATGCTGGTGGCAGTTGCTATTATTATTGTTCTCATTATATCGGTGTTTCAAGTGGTCTTGTACGGGGCCCAGGAACCTGCTGCCCTTCCAGTGGAGGCTCTTTGTTTTACGGTTGTTGCTGTGTTATTTCATGGTGTTTGTTGTTATTGTCCCTTGGTCCCCCTCCTCTGCAGGGGCGGACACCCGGGCCCGGACGCGCGAGGGGGACTCGGCCTTCAGCTCGCTGGTGCTGCTCTTGGGGGAGGCGGCAGGAAGCAGCCCGCAGGAGGCGGAGGCCATGTGCCACTTCTGCTTCCGGGCAGCGCAGCTGCTGACGTGCCATGCGGCGGACCCCAGCGCCTGCCCACCAGACGCCTGCCTGACGCTGTTCTGCCTCAGGGACTTCCGGCGCCACTTCCGCCTCCTGCGCTTCTTACTGGAGTCTGGTGCCACTGCCCACTGCTCCCTGCACGGCCCCTCCTGCTGGTCCGGCTTTGGGGTGCTCTTCCAGCAGCTGGCTGAGGCCCACCTGGATGAGGGCGATGAGGAGGGCTTCTCCACCGACCTCTTCCGCAAAGCCCAGGCCGTCCTGGAACTCATGGTGGCCAGCGCCCCAGCAGTCCGGCTCCCAGAGAGCTTCGATGCCAACTTTGGCGGGGGGCGCTTCCGCAGGGAGAGACTCCGGGTGCTTGTGAACCGCCTGCAGCAGCTGCAGCGCTCCCCACCTCCTCTGAAGCACCTCTGCCGGGTCTCTATCCGGTGGCGCCTCCGGCCTTGGCCTCTGGACACCAAGATCCAGGTCCTTCCGCTGCCCACCCGGCTGAAGCGGTACCTCCTCCTGGACCAAGACGTAGATGCCGACCACGGAGGGACCGGGTGACCGTCCACTTGTCCTTTCCGGGAAGCCTTAACCAACTCCAGCTCTCTTTTATCCATGTGGTCCAGCCCGCTTTTGAGCCCGTCTTCACTTACGGGGTCAAGGCCTCCTTCTGGAGACTTCTTTGCAACCGAACCAGCCATTATTCACCGTAAGTTTGTAGGCAACACTCCTTGGGGGAGTCAAAGCTCCATTGGAACACAGTGAAGCCATTAAACATTGAGCCTTTTATTGGGGTGCCGGGCGGCCCTGTTTTCAAAACGTGTGCCTCTCCTTGTTTTTACATTATGGTAAGAGAAGATTCTAGTCCTCATGGTGCAAATGGAAGGAAAAGGAGTCCCAATACAAGGCCTTTCCCAAGCGAGTCCACATTCTGTCTTTGCTGGTGGACTTAAATGGTTTTGAATTTGCAATGGGAATAACAGAGGGCTGATCACCTTTGTCAGGGTTGTGGGAGGAATGTTATATGGGGAAATACGGATCTATAGGGGATCTATATCACTGTCTTTGTGTCCTCTGGCATCCTGTTAGGAATTTATGTGGAGCATTGCACAGCTCTCTCTCCGCTGAGAAAGAAGTGTAATGTTTTCCTCTTTAGAGAGAAGCAGTTGTGCTTCTGTCTATCAAGGAAGGAGTCCATTTTCTTTCTTGGCGGGTGTCCATCACTTCTCTCCAAAGAGGAAGAAGTCAGGCTTTTGAGAGGAGCAATGGGTGCCCAACTGCACTTCTGTCCACCGAGGAAGGAGTTAGGTACCTTTCCCGATGGACAGTCTGATGTCCGTCTCTTTCTCTGTGCTTCTCTCCATTGAGAAAGCAGTCCAACCTGTTCCTCTGCAGAGAGAAACAAGAAAGCAAACTTGGCTAAGGAAGGAGCCAGGTTGTAGCCGCTTCTCTCCAAAGTCGATAGCAGTCCAAGTGTATTTCTGTCCACTGAGAAGGGAGTCCATTTTTGTTCTCGGTGGACAGAGACACAGCCACGTGTCAATCTCTTTCTCTGCTTATTTCCATTGAGGAAGGAGCCTGGCTCTTTCCTCTTTGGAGAGAAGCAACAGAAGTTCCAGCTGAGCTCTTGTGCACCAAGATGGGAGTTGGACTCTTGGACAGAAGCCCAGGAAAGGCTTCTGTCCAAGAGTCCAGAGCATAGCTGGACTTCTGTCGCTTCTTTCCAAAGAGGAAAGAGTCAGACTTCCTTCCTTGATGGACAAAAGCAGAGAAAGAGATTGACACTTGGCTGTGTCTTTCTCTGCAAAAACGAGCCACACAATTAAAAAATACCCTGCAAACTCATAAGTATATATTTGACCAAACAATAAAAAAGGGAAACAGTAGCAGCAGCAGCTGGTGTTCAATGTTTACTTTCTCGTCTTGTCGTAAACCGTCCTGGCAGATGTCCGGACTGCCTGGGCCCCCTCTGAGTCTGTTCCGGGGGGGGGGGGGGGGGGGGGGGGCTGGCGCTCCCTCCGTTTGTTCGTCCATCCTTCCCTCCTGGGGCTGCTCACCTCATGGCCAAGGTGTAGACGTGGTAGATCTCATCTGGGAAGCCCTGCTGCTGCTCCTGGGCCAGGAGGCGGAGGCCCGCCCGCCGCACGATGCCCAGCACCACCTCCAGGCCGCGGCACACGCTGCTGTCCACATCGTCCAGCACCACCCCCTCCTGCGCCATGTTGTCCTTGATGACGATGAGGCCGTTGGGGCGCAGGCCTTGCCGGCAGCGCTTCAGGAAGGCCGCTAGGTGGTCGTCCGTCAGGTGGCCTGGGGTCAAAGGGCATAGGGGAGGCATCAGGGGAGGGCCCAGCAACAGTCCCTCGGTACATGAGCAAGGCAGCACCCTTTAGGCACATACGGGGAAGGAGGAGTCGGCCACCTACGCACATGGGCCATTCATAGGTAAATCTGCCGGGAAGTGGGCAATAGAAGCCTAGAGGACAATCGTAGGAACACTGGATAGGAGGCAAGTGATTGTGGGTGTGTGTTTTGTTGCTTCTGGTGTGTGAGAATTGGCCCAGGGGACACCCAGATGTTTTGATGTTTTATCATCCTTGTGGGCGGCTTCTCTCATGTCCCCACATGAGGAGCTGCAGCTGACAGAGGGAGCTCATCCATGCTGCTTCCTGTCCAACTACCTGACTGTCCTGCAAGCATCTATCACCCCCGGTGGCACAGTGGGTTAAACCCTAGCGCTGGCAGGACTGAAGACCGACAGGTTGCAGATTCGAATCTGGGGAGAGCATGGATGAGCTCCCTCTGTCACCTCCAGCTCCCCATGCGAGGACATGAGAGAAGCCTCCCACAAGGATGGTAACACATCAAAACATCCAGGCCATGTCCCCTGGACAACGTCCTTGCAGACAGCCAATTCTCTCACACCAGAAGCGACTTGCAATTTCTCAAATTGCTCCTGACACAACAAAAAAAAGTCTCATATATACAATGCACATTATTTTTATATGAAGTGTTTTATATAGTGTGTATATACAAAATATGTAGTGTATATTATATATACAGTATATATATTATATATTATACATTATATATGGAATATATATACATTATATATGTGCAGTGTATGTTATATATTCAGTATACATTATGTATACATTATATGTGCAATGTGCATATATATACAGTATAGGCACTGTGTTATATATACAGTACATACATTTGATATATAGTACATATATATGTGCTGTGTATGTTATATACTCCGTTTATATTATATATATACATTATATGTACAGTGTAAATCTATGGTGTATACATTATATATGCAGTGTCATACATACAGTACCTACATTATATATGCAGTATGTATATGTATATATGTGTGTGATGTATGGACAGGAGGTGGGCCATAGAGGCCTATACGCCAATCATGCATACACTGGGCAGGAGCGGCTGTATAGGGAGATGGGCTATATCCGCACATGAGAATCTCCAGGCCTCCTGAATCCCACCCTGCAAAGGCCCAGAGAAAGTGGCCCAACCGGGGGGGGGGGGGGTATGTGTGTGTGCCTTCCTCACCGATGACCCACTGGATCCAGATGAGGTCATAGGCCCCGGGCTCGGGGCTGAAGTCCTGGAGGCCACAGCAGAAGTAGTTTCGGACGCGGCGGGCCTCCTCCCCCAGGAAGTCCCGGGCCTGGTCCAGGAAGCCCTCCGTCACGTCCACCAGATCCACCTCGCGGAAGAGCGGCAGTAGAAGGCGCTTGGAGATACGGCCAATGCCCGCCCCGCAGTCCAGCGCCCGGGAGGTCCCCGTCCGGTTGGGCCCCTCCTGCAAGGGGAGGGACGAGCCGTCAATGACCAGCTCAATAATAATATCATTCTAGGTGTCAATGTCCACCTGATGAATAACAATAATAATGATAATCCATCTGAAGAACAATAAAACAATCTAGTCAAGTGTCCACCTGAATGATATCATCATGCAGTCAATGTCCGCCTGAATAATAATAATATTCTATAATCAATGGGAATAATAATAATAAAACAATTATATAGTCAATGTCTACCTGGATAATAATAGACTTCTATAAATGTCCACCTGAATTATAGTATTCTATAGTCCAGGTCCACCTGAATAATTGATATTCTATCATCAATGTCCACCTGAATAATAATCTATAATCAATGAGAATAATAATAAAACAATTCTATACTCAATGTTCAACTCAATAATATTCTATAGTCAATGTCCACCTGAATAATAATATTCCGTAGTCAATGTCCACCAGAATAATAAAATTCTATACTTAATGTCCAACTGAAGAATAATAGAATTCTATAAATGTCAACCTGAATTATATTCCATAGTCAATGTCCACCTCAATAATAATAATATTCTGTACTCACTGGGAATAATAATAATAATAATAATAGTACAATTCTATAGTCAATGTCTACCTGAATAAAAATGATAATATTCTATAAGCAATGTCCACCTGAATAACAATATAATTCTATGGTCAATGTCCACTTAAATGACAATAATAATATTTTCTAGTCAATGTCCACCTGAATAATAATAATAATAATAATAATAATAATCTATAGTCAATGTGAATAATAAAACTATTCTATAGTCATTGTCTACCTGAAGAATATCATTCTGTAGTCCAATGTCCACCTGAATAATAATTCTATAGTCAGTGTCCACCTAAATGACAATAATAATACTATTCTAGAGTCAATGTCCACCTAAATAATGCCACTCTAGTGTCAATGTCTCGCTGAATGATAATATTTGGAAGAGACCATATGGGCCATCTAGTCCAACCCCCGCCATGATGGGAAAGCACAAGCAATACAATTCTATAGTCAGTATCTGCCTGAATAATAATAATAATAATAATAATAATTTCATGGTATCCCATGGTTGATGACCTTAAAAAGAGACCAGGACAACGGTATCTCGAGATGAAGAGGTGTGTGCTCACCTTGAGGAAGCGGAGCAGGAAGGCCCTGGAGCTGGCGATGTCCAGGCTGGAGATGTGGCCGTAGCCGCCCAGCATGCCGTCCACGGTGGCCGGGACCGCCTTCCAGTACCGCTCCGCCTTCGAGTAGAACTCTGACTCGTCCTCCACCGCCTCCTTCGCCATGGCTGCCTTCGCCCCTTGGGAGCCCAAAGACAGGAAGGAAGGAAGGAAGGAAGGAAGGAAGGAAGGAAGGAAGGAAGGAAGGAAGGAAGGAAGGAAGGAAGGAAGGAAGGAAGTGGGGAGAGAAAGAATGAAAACGGGAGAGGGAGAAAGAAAGAAAGAAAGAAAGAAAGAGTGAGAACAGGAAAGAATGAAAAGAGGGGGAAAGAATGAAAGAGAGAAAGAAAGGAAGCAAGAAAGGAGAGATAGAGAGAGAGGGAAAATAAAAGAGAGGAAGGAAAGAATGAAAGAGAGAAAAGGTGAAAGAAAGGGAGAGAGAAAAGGGGTGAAAGAAATAAAGGGCAAGAAAGAAAGAATGCAAGGAGAAAGAAAAGAGAGAGAGAAGGAAAGAATGAAAGAGGAGAAAGAGAAGGAAAGAAGAAAGAACCAGGGAGAGAAAGGAAGAGAGAAGGAAAGAAAGAATGAAAGAGAGAGAGAAAGGAAAGAATAAAATAGAGAAAGAGAAAAAGGGGGAGAGACAGAGAAAGGAGAAAGAGGGATAAAAAAGAGAAAGAGAGGACGAAAAAAAGAAATTTATAGAATCCTAGAGTTGGAAGGGTCCCCAAGGGCCAATTGTGCCTAACCCTGTCTGCCAGGCAAGAAAAGCACCACCCCAGCCCTCTCGACAGATGGCCATTTAGAACCCATCTCCCTCCTTTTACATTATATGTACTGTATATATAACATACAGTGCATGTGTAATATGTGTGTGTGTGTGTATAACCTCATACACTGGAGCATATATGTCACATATAATGTATACATAATATATCTACTGCATATATAACATACATTACATACAATATATGCATATATATGTATTTAATAGATGTACTGTATATATAACACACTGCATATATATACATATAATATATGCAGTGTGTTATATATACAGTGTGTAGATAATGTAACCCTGTTTTAAATCAATAAATTTAAATAAATAATGTACGTATATACTGCACACACACACACATATAGTGCATATATAATGTACATTATATATACTGTATAAAATACAAATAGTGTTTACACGTAAAAAGATAATGGAACCCTTGGTGTCATTAATGCACTCTCTCAACAGCAGAGGAAAGTACAAACCTGGAATCCCTATAAACAGATTTAAATTACACTAAATTAAATGGATTAAATTTAAACCAAATTAAATGCATTACAATAAAAAAAATCTATTTTAAATCAATATTCTTAGGCTCCAAAATCAGCCCTTCTCTCCTCTATCCCCTGGACCGACTGTATTCCTCCTTCCTCCAAGGAAGAGTTTCAGGATTTCAATGCAGGCCATGCCTTCACCCCAAAGAAATGCAGAGTCCTGCCAAGAGCTAAATATATCCCCCCATCCCCAAAAAGGGAAACGGAGCGGCCGGAAGGGCCACTGGCTTCTGAAAACCCCAACCCAGTGCAGTCCAATGGCAACAGAATTGCAAAATAATAATAATAACAAACAACAACAACAACAACAATAATGGTCCCAATGGTGATCGGCACACTGGGTGTTGTGCCAAAAGATCTCAGCTGGCATTTGGAAACAATAACCACTGCAAAAGGCCACCTGACTTGGATCTGCATGCATCATTTGAAAATACATCACACTTGGAAAGTGTTCGACTTGTGATTTTGTGATACGAAATCCAGCATAGAGATCTCGTCTGCTATGTCATTCTGTGTTTTTGTGTCAATAATAATAATAATAATAATAATAATAATAATGTTAGCTGCCTGGAGTCCTTAAAAAAAGAAAGGCAGGTTAGAAATAATAATAATAATAATAATAATAATAACTTGGATCTGCGCACATCATTCGAAAATACATCACACAGTTCTAGACGCTTGGGAAGTGTAATAATAATAATAATAAGGTGGTCCCAGTGGTGATTGGCACACTGGGCGCAGTGCCTCAAGACCTTGGCCTGCACTTAAACACAATCAGCGCTGACAGAATTACCATCTGCCAGCTGCAGAAGGCCACCTTACTGGGATCTGCATACATTATTCGCCCATATATTAATAATATATGGTGGCTTTGAAGCATGAGGTAATTCCGTCTTTAGACTTGGGTCCCATCTCCGAAATATTACAGAGATGTGTATAGCCGTAGTGTGAAATGGGTAGTGAATTATTATTATTGTTGTTGTTATTAGCACAATAATGAGCCCCCCCCCCCCCTGGACACTAAGCTGCCGAACTTGCTGACCAAAAAGTTGGCGGTTCAAATTTGAGGAGCGAGGTTAGCCCCAGCTCCTGCCAACCTAGTAGTTTGAAAACATGCAATATTTATTATTATTATTTACTTGCTTCATTTATGTACCGCTTTTCTCAGCCCTTAGGCGACTCAAAGCGGTTAACAGCAGCAATTTCAATGCACACATTACAAAACCATTGGAACATTTAAAAACAATAGCATAACAACAATTAAACATCAATAGGACAAATCATTTGCGTCTCGTCAATAGAATCAGAATTCAATCTCATCAACTGTTAATAGGTCCCACTTATACGGAAAGATAACGGCGCTCCATGCAGTCCTGTTGACCACATGACCTTGGAGGTGTCTACGGACATATATATTTAAAAAAGTTTTCCCCTGACATTAAGTCCAATTGTGTCCAACTCTGGGACTCTGGTGCTCATCTCCATTTCTAAGCCGAAAAGCCAGCGTTGTCTGTAGACACCTCCAAGGTCATGTGGCCAGCATGACTGCATGGTGCGCCATTACCTTCACGCTATTGATCTTCTCACATATGCATGTTTACGAACTGCTAGGTTGGCAGAAACTGGGCCTGACAGCAGGAGCTTACGCCACTCCACGGATTCAAACCACCAACCTTTCGGTCAGCAAGTTCAGCAGTTTAACCCACTGCGCCACCAGGGCCCCCTAATATATTTAAATAAATATAATAATAAATATAATAATAATTTTGGAGAAGAGCTTTAATGTCTAAGACAAAAAAGTGGCCTATCCATTTATTGATAATAAAAAACATACATAAAATAACTATAATATTAGTAACAATAATAATAATAATATTAGTAACAATAATAATAATAATAATAATAATAATAATAATAATATAACAACAATTCAGGATAAGAGCTTTAATGGTGGGGGGAAAATAACTTTATGTTATTTTCCGGTGGCGCAGTTGGTTAAACCCCTGTGATGGCAGGACTGAAGACTGACAGGTCGCAGGTTCAAATCCGAGGAGAGGCGGATGAGCTCCCTTTATCAGCTCCAGCTCCTCACACGGGGACATGAGAGAAGCCTTCCTCAAGGATGATAAGAACATCAATTCATCCGGATGTCCCCTGGGCAACGTCCTTGCAGACGGCCAATTCTCTCACAACAGAAGCGACTTGCAGCTTCTCAAGTTGCTCCTGACACGACAAAATATTATTATTATTATTGGAGCCCCCAGTGGCGCAATGCGTTAAACCCTTGTGCTCGCAGGACTGAAGACCGACAGATCGCAGGTTCGAATCAGGGGAGAGTGCAGATGAGCTCCCTCTGTCAGCTCCAGCTCCTCATGTGGGGACATGAGAGAAGTCTCCCACAAGGATGATAAAACATCAAAACATCTGGGCAACGTCCTTGCAGACAGCCAATTCTCTCACACCAGAAGCGACTTGCAGTTTCTCAAGTCGCTCATCACACGACAAATATATATACACATATATATTTACACACACTCATACAGTTCATACATTTTATATATAGTACATATGTGTGCTGTGTATGTTATGTACTCAGTATATATTACATATACATTATATGTGCGGTGTATATATGCAGTGTCTTATTACGTATACAGTAAATCTATACATTATATGTGCAGTGTAAATCTATAGTAGATACATTATATATATGTAGTCATACATACAATACCTACATTATACAGTATACACATTATTATTATTATGAATCAAACAATAAAATAAATTATAATAAAAAATAATGATAATAAATATAATAATAATTCAGGATAAGGTCTTTAATGGGTTTAAGAGAAAAAAGTGGACTACACATGTTATAAATAATAAATATAATAATAATAATAATAATAGATACATATTAATAATAATAATAATAATAATAATAATAATAATAATAATAATAACTATTTATACCCCGCTACCATCTCCCCAAGGGACTTGGTGCGGCTTACATACAAAATACAACAATACAAGCAATAACAATAACAATACAAGCAATTTAAAATAACAAAACAAAACAATAACGAAACAATAAAACAATAACATATGCATTATCAATAGGACAACACACCTTAAAATCTATGGGTAAATATAATAATAATAATGAAATGATAAATATAATAAAGTAAAAATATAAGAATAAATGCAATAATATAATGCAATAATATAATAAATATAATAATAAAAGTAAACAATAATAAAAATATAAATATAATAATGGAAGTAAACATAATAATAAACATAAGTATAAATGCAATAATAATAATAATATAATAAAAGTAAACATAATAAAAATATAAGAATAAATACAATAATAATATAATAAATATAATAATAAAAGTAAACAATAATAAAAATATAATAAATATAATAATGGAAGTAAACATAATAATAAACATAAGTATAAATGCAGTAATAATAATATAATAAAAGTAAACATAATAAAATAGAAGAATAAATGCAATAATATAATAAATATAATAATAAAAGTAAACAATAAAAATATAAATATAATAATGGAAGTAAACATAATAATAAACATAAGTATAAATGCAGTAATAATAATAATATAATAAAAGTAAACATAATAAAAATATAAGAATAAATGCAATAATAATTTAGGATAAGAACTTTAATGGGGGAAATAGTTTGGAGTCTAAGAAAAAGAGTATTCCTATAAATAATAATAATAATATAATAATAATAACAAATAAATGCAAATGCCAGGCTTTCCTGGGAAGAGGAGGCAAAACTACAACTCCCATGCTCCCTTTCGCCTGAGGGTTGACTTGGAGGGGGAAAGAAGGGGCTCCAACCGGGTTCCCGGGCTGCAAACCGGAGTGACTCCGGATCCCCGCGTGTGAACTCACCCGAATCGAAGGCGAAAGAAGACCTGCAGCTGCTGCTGCCTTGGCCCCGCCCTCCCACGTGTGGAGATAGTGGGGGGCGGGACTTCCCTTGGCCACGCCCCCCTCCGGATGCGGAAGTGGGAGGCACTCTCTAGCAAAATCATTGGGTTGTGGTTGGGTTTTGCTTCAAGGTGTGTGTGTGTGTGTGTGTGTGTGTATATATATTTAATTATAGCTCTATTATTGATTCTTTTTGCATTTAAATATACCCTTTCTTCAATATTTTTGCAATATTTATCAATATCTACAGATGCATTTAAATGTAATTCCATTATTATTACCTCTGTTATGTATTGCTATAGTGATTTTTGGCATCTATTGTTATTCATGGCACTATATTGATTTTCCATTGAAATATAACTCTATTATTATTCTTTGTAGTATATTGATTTATTTCCATTTAAATATACCTTTTTTGCAATATTTTGCAATATTTTTGCAATATTTTGCAGTATGTATGTATGTATGCATACTACATATGTGTATAGTAATGTAGTATGTAGAGTGTGTGTGTGTATATATATATGTATGTATGTATGTATATCTGCCCTGAGTCCCTTTGGGGAGATAGAGCGGAATATAAATATATATATAAATTGCAATCTACAATATTGCTTTTTGGCATTTAAATGTACCTCCCATTATTATTATTAGTATTATTTATTGCAATTTATTCCTTTTTAATTTTTAGAAATATTATTATTATTATTATTATTATTATTATTATTATTATCATGGCAATCTATTGCTTTTTTGCCATTTAAATGTACCTCTCATTAATATTACTAGTATTATTTATTGCAATCTATTGCTTTTTTGCATTTCAATATGCCTCAATTATTATTATTATTAATTGCAATCTATTCCTTTTTTTTTTGCATTTATTTTTATTATGATTGGCAGTTCAGAGGCTGTCAAACTGTATCCATCCTTCAGTGCAATCTCTGGCCTTCCAGGGCTTTTGGACTCCAACTCCCAGAATCCCTGTCCATTGTCCAAAGCTGTGGAGGCTTCTGGGAGTTGGAGTCCAAAAGCCCTGGATGGGCAGAGATTGGTGAAGTTTGGCCCCAATTTAGCAGCTGTGGAGCTCTGGGAGTTATAGTTCAGCATGGCCGCAGACATCCTTGGGCTGAGGAAGCCCATGAGGCCAGGAAAGAGATACGGAGGGACTCCAAAGCCCATCATTACCTTGAGCAGCTAGATGGTTGGCCGGTCTGTTAACCACAGAAATGGGGTTCCGTTCCCTCGACGACAGCGGAACCCTGGCTCCAGGCTCACGAGCCAATCAGAATATTTCCTATGGCAACAGTGGCCATCCTGTGATAATAATAGTAATAATAATAATAATGTCAATAATAATGTTGCTGCTGAGGATATATTATTCTACTAAAGGTAAAGGTTTTCCCCTGACATTAAGGCCAGTTGTGTCCGACTCTGGGGAATGACGCTCATTTCCATTTCTAAGCCAAAGAGCCGGCGTTGTCCGTAGACACCTCTAAGGTCATGTGGCAGAAATTGACTTTCATGGGAGTTATAGTTCACCTCCAGAGAAACTAACCTCCACCAACAATGTACCGGGTCTAAATTTGGCACAGAGAAGCCCCAACTGAACATACTGCAGGGGTTTGGGGAAATGGAAATTGTTGGGAGTTGTAGTTCACCTTTATCCAGCAAGCACTGAATCCATCCGACATCAGATTTGGACCAAACTTGGCACACAGACCCAACATGGCCAACTGTGCATACAGGCAGGGTTTGGGGTTGAATGGCCTTGGATCTGGGAGTTGTAGTTCACCCTTATCCAGAGAGCCCTGAACACAGACGACGTCACATCTTTGGCCACTTAGATCCAACACGACCAACTGTGCATACAAGTCTGGTTTGGGGGCGATTGTCCTTGGCTCTGGGAGTTGTAGTTCACTCTTATCCAGACAGCATTGAACGCAGCTGATGGATTTGGACCAAACCTGGCACACAGACCCAGCATGGCCAACTGTGCATACAGGCAGGGGTTGGGGTTGAATGGCCTTGGATCTGGGAGTTGTAGTCCACCCTTATCCAAAGAGCCCTGAACCCAGACGACGTCACATCTGGGCCACATTGATCCAACATGGCCAACTGTGCATACAGATTTGGTTTGGGGGCGATTGTCCTTGGCTCTGGAGTTGTAGTTCACTCTTATCCAGACAGCACTGAACACAGCCGATGTCAGATCTGGACCAAACCTGGCACCCAAACCCAACATGGCCAACTTTGAATACTGGTGAGGTTTGGGGTGACTGGCCCACGATTTTGGGAATTGCAGTTCACTCACACCCTTGCGCATTTTCTAATGGGAGCATCCATTAAAAAAAAAACCAAAGGAAAGTCTGACATTTCTCTAAGAAATAGAGCTACAAATTCCCAAACTGATATCACCTCACACTCCAAAACAAACAGTGCTTTTACAAACATAACATATTGGAAGGGGTTTGGGGGGAATGACTCGCCTGTGTGGGAGTTGTAGTTCACCTTGCATCCAGAGATATTATCAAACTACCCAAAACAAGCAATGCCTTTATCAAGGAACCCGGGCACAGCCGGGTCCCCAAGCTAGTAAGGAATAGAAAAGATATATATATGTATATATATTAGGGTTTATCCATTAGAAAAAAACCCCCAAACTTCATGTATTGAAGTACTCCTTCGCGCCCGCCAGGGGGCAGTGTTGCATTACCTATCTGCTGCCATGCATGCGAGCCTCCTTCCCTGCTGGTCTGCTGCTCAAGTTTGCTCCTTTCCTTTTGTTAACAGATTGGAAAACTACTCCTTTTAAAAATATTTTTGGTTTTTCCAACTCCTGCACAAACAGGGATTCGCTTTGTGGGCAGAGAAAGGGAAGGTTTTAGAGAGAGAAAAGGAGAGAAAGAGGCAAGGAAGAGGAAGAAAAGAGCAAGATCTCATGGCCCCTAATAATATATCCTATTATTATTATTATTATTATTATTATTATTATTATTATTATTATTATTATTTGAAACACAACAAGATGAGTCCGCAGCAAACAAGATCACTCTGCTGGCTGTTGTTGTTGTTGTTGTTATTATTATTATTATTACTATTATTATATACATAAACACAGTACGGCACAGCAAATGAGATATGTATGTGTATATAATAATAATAATAATAATATACATAAACACAGTATGGCACAAATGAGATATGTGTATGTATGTATATTATTATTATTATTATTATATACATAAACACAGTATGGTACAGCAAATGAGATATATGTGTGTGTATATATAATTATTATTATTATTACTACTGTTATTATATACATAAATACAGTATGGCACAGCAAATGAGATATGTATGTGTATATATTATTACAATAATAATATACATAAACACAGTGTGGCACAGCAAATGAGATATGTGTATGTGTGTATATTATTATTATTATATACATAAACACAGTATGGCACAGCAAATGGATTATATGTGTGTGTATTGTTGTTGTTATTATTATTATTATTATTATTATATACATAAACACAGTATGGCACAGCAAATGAGATATGTGTGTATATTATTATTATTATATACATAAACACAGTATGGCACAGCAAATGAGATATATGTGTGTGTATTATTATTATTATTATTATTATTATTATTATTATTATTATTATATACATGAACATAGTATGGCACAGCAAATGAGGTATGTGTGTATATAATAATGATAATAATAATAATAATAATATACATAAACACAGTATGTCACAGCAAATGAGATGTGTGTGTGTGGATATAGATAGGTAAATAATTTAGTTGGATGACCATCTGTTGGGAGGGTTTTCGTTGTCTCCCAGCATGGGGTTGGACTGGATGACCTCTAGGGCTCTCTCTCTCATTGCAATTTCAATGAGATTTCAAGCCCTTTCCAGCCAGACTATTGCTGCATGCAAAGCATATGCAAAGCAGCCTCATTTGCATAAGGGCCGCATTGAATCCTAATGCCAAAAGAAGGGGCCTCACAATCTCTGAGGATGCTTGCCATAGACGTGGGCGAAACATCAGGAGGGAATGCTTCTGGAACACGACCATACAGCCCGGTAAACACACAACAACCTAATCTTATTATTATTCTTATTTAGTTGGATGGCCATCTGTCGGGAGGGTTTTTGTTGTCGTCTCCTCACATGGCTTTAGACTGGATGACCTCTAGGGCTCCCTCTCATTGCGATTTCAATGGGATTTCAAGCCCTTTCCAGCCAGACTATCGCTGCATGCAAAGCGTATGCAAAGCGTATGCAAAGCAGCCTCATTTGCATAAGGGGCCCGCAGCGAATCCTAATGCAGAGAGAGAAGAGGCCGGAGCTTCAAGACTATAGGAAATGCCCTCTTTAGGAATCTCTTGGCCCTACCATTCCGGCTCTATGGTCAAATCCCCCAGCAAACTGCAAATCCCAGGATCCCATTTAATAATAATATAGTATTATTACTGCTGCAAATAAGGGAGAGATGGAGGATTCGGTCTCCTTAAGCTCTCCCTTTTTTGCTGAGCATCTTTTCCTGTTTGATGACTTTGATCCTTGGGCTTAAAGAGGGAGATTTGCCCCCTTTTTTCGCCCTTAATGGGGGGAAATTAAATGTAATGCATGATCTCAATGCCTTTGATTGATTCCAGGGAGGACTTGCATTGAGCCCTGGTTGTGGTTTGCTAATGCCGAGACCCGTCTGCATACAAAGAAATAGAACGGCAACAATATTAAACAAAAGTACTATAGGAAATATAAATACTTTTTTCTCTCTCTCTCTTTAAAATCCATTCCTGGCAATGGACCGGATCCGTTCCGGGATTTCCACCCAGCCCTCCCAGGTGAACCAGGAGTCAGGCAGGTAGAGGATGCTTTTTCCCAGGAGGAAAGACCAGGAAAACCCGGACCGGAGTCCAGATCCGGTATCTAGATGGTGTTTGAGCCCACTGTAACTGCTAGGGGAAAAATGGCAACTCCAAGGATTCCAAGGCCTTCTTATACTATAACTCCCAGCACTTCAAGACCTAGTTGAACTGTAACTCCTGGGATTCGAAGACCTTGTAAAGCTCTTCTTCCAGGATCCTAATTCCCAGCACCCCAAGGCCTTATAAAACGATGAGTCCAGGTATCTCATGGCCTTGTTTTACTACTACAACTCCCATGACTCCAAGACCTTGTAAAGCCATAACTCCCGGTATCACAACGTCTGTCTTGTCAAATATAACTCATGAGATCCTAAGACCTTATAAAACTGCAACTCCTTTGATTCCAATATATTATAAAACTAAAACTGCCATGACTCCAAAACCTTATGAAACTATAACTTCTATGACTCCAAGGCCTTAAAAAACTACAACTCCTTTGACTCCAAGGTCTTATAAAACTACAACTCCTTTGACTCCAAGACCTTCTAAAACTATAACTCCTGTGACTCCGTCTTTATAAAACTACAACTCCTTTGACTCCAAGGCTTTATATAACTAAAATTGCCATAACTCCAAGACCTTATGAAACTATAACCCCTTTTACTCCAATGCATTATAAAACTACAACTCCTATGACCAAGACCTTATAAAACTAAAACTCCTATGACTCCAAGGCCTTGTAAAACTACATGACTCCAAGACCTTATAAAGCTACAACTCCTATTATGCTAAGCCTTGTAAAACTACAACTCCTATGACTACAAGAACTTATGAAACTATAACTCCTTTTACCTCCAAGGCCTTATAAAACTACAACTCCTATGACCAAGACCTTATAAAACTACAACTCCTATGACTCCTGGGCTTGTAAAACTACATGACTCCAAGACCTTATAAAGCTACAACTCCTATTATGCTAAGTCTTGTAAAACTACAACTCCTATGACTCCAAGATCTTATAAAACTACAACTTCTATTATGCTAAGGCTTGTAAAACTACAACTCCTATGACTACAAGACCTTATGAAACTATAACTCCTTTTACTCCAATGCATTATAAAACTACAACTCCTATGACTCCAAGATCTTATAAAACTACAACTTCTATTATGCTAAGGCTTGTAAAATTACAACTCCTATGACTCCAAGACCTTATAAAACTAAAATTCCAATGGCTCCAAGGCATTGCAAAACTACAACTCCTATGATTCCGAGGCCCTGTGAAATGACAACTCCCACAACTTCTAGGCCTTGTTATTGCTCTAACAACAAAGGGCTTTGTCGAACTACACCTCCCATGGTCCCATACCAGACTACAAATCCCA